AGAGCGTCCAGCTGAGGTCTCAGGGTCACAGGACGGACACTGGAGATGTTCAAACAGAAGCTGCATCAACACGGTAGCTGAACTGGAACTAGTTTGCATCCCAGTCCTTCAGTGCAGAGATATAACACTTGGCTGTCTGTACCTGCCCGTGTACAAAAAGCACTTGTCATGCCAGGGTCCTTCCAAACAGTGGTTTATTTCACACCTTCATTTTATTTAAAGTCCTCCTAGCAGAACTAGCCTGGCCTCAGGGGAGCAGTGCAGCTGTGACAGCGCTACACAGCTGTATCCTCAGTGGTCCTTTCCACACCAGGCACGGCAGATGAGTAACAGGATATCCCATGGTTCCTGACATGTCAGTGTCGAACACATTGCAGGACTTTATTCTCCAGGTCTTGTCTTCTGCAGCCAAATCAGAGATGTTTATCTTAATCAGGGCAGGTTTAAGCTTAAAAAGAAAAAAAGAAAACAACCTTAAACATTACATATTTCAGATTTGTTTATTAAGTACACAAATTTGAAGATTCAGGCAAAATATCGTTCGTCAAAGTTGACAATAATAGAAACTGAAATAGAAAAACAGCTAAACTGGTCAGCTCAGCCTTATAAAGACCACAGAGAGAGGCTCCCAGAGTCTGCAGACTGCTCCCCAGTTCTGCTACTCACTTCACGAAGAACTGCCTTCTTTTGCTTTGAAAGTGGCTTTCATGAGGTCAATACTTCTCGGGTTTTACGTGAAAGGAGAACAATCTCCATTCACCTTTCTATGCCCCCATATAGACCTGAAAAGCCTTGACAGCAGTAACCATGTATGGCATATTCTATGGGATTGAACAATAAGCTTGCCACAAATCACTCGTGAGCAAATACATCAAAACTTTGAAAGTGCCAAAAGCATTCCCTTGTCAAAAAGGTTCTTTTCCTTATTTCAGTCTATTTAATTACTTCAACCAATAGTGGCTACAAAGATCAGAAACTGATGGACTGTGAAGTGTGTTTTCCTCTACCACTCTTAGCAAACATAAGCTTTGAGTAGGAGAAGTCATCTGTTCCAAAAAACTCAAAGGATTTGGCTCAGTTCAACTGCTTTCAAATGCAAAAGCATGCATTAACAATTCCTTCCAATCCAGCACATCTTGAGTTTTGTTTGGCCTAAAGACAGCTGGTGTATTTGAATAGATTTTAAATTCCTCTATGTAAGTGCAACCTGTACCAAGTCATCCTTAAAATAAAAGTCAAGAATTTGCATGAGTATATACTATTTAGGAATACGTTACACTAACTACCTAAACAAAGAGTTACGAAATACAATATTACTTAGATAATGTTTTGGACAAAAAGCTTCAGCTAGCTGCAAGCTACATGCTTTAATACCTGTTACTCAATTAGAATCTAGTTTGCTTCAAGAAAGTTACTAGAAATCTGTGTATTTATAATTAAATATCAGTTATTTAAATCAAAGATTTACCTATTCAAATGGTGATTAAAGTGACCGTTTAAATCACTTTGAATCAAGATTACATTTGGCCTGTAACTCAGCTCAAAGTTGAGTTGCTCATTACTAAGGCAAACATTTCTGAAGGAAAACTCGAATAGTATTTTAATAGGAAGCTCATTACACAAATTCAGCCTGCAAGCCATAATGCGATTCATGGCACACCCCGCTGGTCTTTGGCCTCTTTCCTGTCCATTAAAACCCAAGTTGTTTCAACACACTGGCCACAACCTGATTGAAGAGTTGGCATCGGTTTGGGGGACTCTGATGGCTTCTGCCCGGCTCCTGTCTAAGTGCAACAGGGAGGGAGCAGACCAGCATGGGCACAGCGAGCTGCCGTGAGAGGGTTCAAGCAGAGTTTGCAGCTGGACTGAGATCAAGCAGGACTGAACTTACAGGAGGACTATGGCAGTGAAGAGAGCAGGACTGAAAGTTAGCTTGGGTGAAAGGCGAGGGACGCCTGCGCAGGAGGAACCCCAGCCTGGCTTACTGCTGGCTTTCCCGAGCTGGCACAGGGATTTCTGTGCAGAGATTCAGCGCGGTTGAGCATCCAAAACGACAGAATCTGGAACAGGAGAGACGGCCAGGCCAGTAGAGTCCGTCGAGTCTGTGGGACAGCACAGAGGAGCAAGCAGCACCCAGGCTCAGCCTGCAAAGTGGGCAGGGTGCCAGCCTACGCTGGAGTACTTCACCTTCCCAGCCTCCCCTCGTCCATCAGCAGAGACAAGGTATTAAATACAGATCTCCGAAAGCCACTTTCAAACTTACTGCAGAAGCTGCTCTTCAGAAAGCAGAGTTTATCACGCTGACTGCTCACAGGCATTGGTGGCAGAGCAAGGAGGCAAGTCACCTGAAATACTCTGCATTCAAACTGTTACTGTAGAGAAATATTGAGCAGCAGCAATTCCCTATCTGCACGTACTGCTTCGGCTTTTTGAACTGCTCCTACCAGCAGCAGATGGCCCTTGCTGCAGCACCCCGAGGGGGGTGTCAGGATGCTTGCAGACCGTGCAGCTCCCCGCAAGGGCTCCCCGCAGCAGTGATCCTGCTGCCCGCATCCTATGCCACAGGCAGACATCAACACCCTCTGTCCTTTCCTCTTCTTCTGGATAAGCCACTGTGTCTGCTTTCATTTTTCTTACAAAAAGCACGCTCTCAAGCGTGCTTGAGATTTTTGTAATAAAAAAATTCCCAAGAGGAAGGCACAGGCAGCAGGAGAGGCCAGGGTGCTGGGCAGCCAAGCTACACATACAAGTAGTACCAGTTCAGAAAGGAAATCAGTTCCTTGTCCTCCCTCCCCACACACACACACCCTGCGTATATGTATGGCAGTGGAGGAAAACACAGCCAAATGATTGCACAGTAACCCAAGAAACCCATTCAGGTTACCTCAGCTCAGAAAGAAATACCAGGGCAGAAAAGGGTGTGTAACACAGCAGAGGCCAAAAATGTTAATATGTAACTGTAAGAAGCAGTTCTGTGAGGTAAGTACTCTGCTTCACTTGTAATTGTCTCTAGTAGTTAATTGACATTATAACAAAAATCTTCTAGAGAGAGAAGCCTGAAAGAAAGCACAGTGAGAACACAATGGTACGCACAAATATCTATCTAAACTAAAGCTTTTTTACTTGGTACTACTAGAGGATGCAATGGGAGCTGACATTCATTTAACAGGTTTTACAGAGACAAATTATCTCAGAAGTAACTGTTTTGAATGTTGTTTATTAAGCATATTGTGTGGGTACTGCCTGTACTTGGAACAGCATGCTACATGGTCCACTTGAAGGAGTTGAGAATCTAGTTTTTAAAAGCCATTTTTTAAAACTCAGCTTTATAAATTGGAAAAAAGTTATTAAAAAATTATAAGGATCAGTGAGTAAGTTTTTAATCCAGAGAACTTATCTATTAGTAAGGAAATCTACTTCTGTTTGTGTTTGGCTTTGTTTTCTTTGTAAATTAAGTATCCCCAATTTCTGAACTCAAATCAAGCACGCACAGGCAGCATTATCCCATTATCCTGGTCTTCAACCCCTTTTAGAACAAGGAGAGTAAAGCATCACATCCATTTCCACTCCAAGCCTGCTTCATCTGCATAATGTTGACTTGATGGAAAGTACAGCAGCACTCATACTTCCACCATGGTTCTGGTCATTTCCAGTAACAGCCCATTTTAATGGCATCATCTTTTGGACTGAGAAGTAGAAGGCAGCAGGGCAAAAGGAAACAAGATGATTACATATTGGTGGTGGAAACATCTAAGGTTGTATTATCATAGATCCTGCATAAAATACCAAGGCTATATGGTACAAACAAAGGGTCTTAAGAAGAGCATTAAGCCTACCAAAAGTGTAGAACCTCAAGACAAATATTTAAGTTGCAGAGAGAGGAAGTAGTACCACCAGCCACGGACCACAGCACCCTATACGCACACAGACTGATAAGAGGCTTTAAAAAAAAAGAAAAATCAAAAAAAAAAATCACTGTCAGGGCACAGAAGTGTCAGCCTGTGCATTATGCGACAGCGCTGTTCTCTGCGAGCTGCTGCAGACCGGCACAGGCAGTTACACTGTGAAGCACAGAGATACAGGGGCACCTACACCAGGGTATTACACAAAGCTCAGGCTCAGGCTCCTAAAAATCCCATTAGTACAAAGCTGCTCTACTGCACCAAACTGCTTTTTAAAGCTCCGCTCCACTGCAGAAAGTTGTTAGGGACAGATACTAAGTCACTCAGTAGTTACCACAAGTTTAGACTTCAGACTTTGGTAATTTAAGACTTTCTGAAATTATGGTTTACTAAATCTATATATGGAGTTCAAACTAAAAACTTCACTGCAAAGCTTTCATTTAGTCTCCTTTGAGTGTGGTTCTGGAAGGAGCTGGCAGGTCATCCTATAATGCGGAAACAGACACAGCATTTAAAGTATTTAAAAGCCATTCAAAAACCTGTACATTGTGAAACATGCTTGGAAGAAAATACCTGTTCTGGCTTCTAAACAAAGTTTTCCATTTCTGCAGAACTTCCAGGTCCACTCATCGATAACTATCAGCTCCGTTTTACAGTTCAGCAAACTAGCTCTCTTTCACAAAACCTACAGAATGTGAATACGGACTATGTCAGCCGAGGCACTTTTATTGGTCATTTTCAGCATGTAGCTGAGGAGGACTTGAACCACACCACTGCTGGTTAAAATAAGCCACCTGGCTGCATCTGACCTGTTCGCAGATGCGGAGCCCTGGTTTGCAAGCAAACATTTCAGGGGAACCGTTAGAAATGGTGGGCTCTGAGAAGTGTTTCCTAGAGTCATGGAGGTGGACCTAATGGCTTAAAAGTAGAATCCACAGACGGGTATTGGTCTTAAAGATTCACAAGAGGAACATATTCTCTACAGTGTCAAACCTTACACTTCAGCGATTATATTTAATTATTGGATGGCACAAAGACTGTGCTGGAGGATGTTCCAACGTGGTTAACAGCCGTACT